ATTTCTGGGAAACGCCTGTCACATGAAGGTTGGCATGTTGAAGGAGACCCGAGTAAGAAGGAGACTAGAATCAGTTAAGATTCCTAACTTTAAGAAGAAATCGGCACAGTCGCCTGCTCACTCGGATCTTCCATTTTACAAATCGAAAATTACGCCCTGATTTAAGTGCATTGCCTATTCCTTGCTTTCCCATTCCTACTGGCTCGGCTGTCAACTGGGTCATTTGTTTGCCACCTCGGCCTCAAAACTACCTGTGAGTTCGACTAGTGCTACCCAAGTACGCCTGGCTAGGTCTATTCATTGACCGGTGACTGGTTCTCAGTGCTCCGGAATCTATTTAAAAGTCAATATTTAGAGTTTATTTTTCCATAGTTCTCTAGCCTGCGACTTCTCTTAGTGCGCAGGAAGGTTTATTTCCGCGCAAAATGGTAATTTTCTACAAGGGCGGACTTTGTGAAGACCCCAACGAACGATAAAAGCAAATGCTGGTTGTCATCTTCTAGAACAAGCCTGTCTCACTCGTGCCAAGAAGCACCTTACGGGGGGGGGGAGCCACTGTGATGCTACCGGCACTTTCAGAACTGCCTGTCATGTCAAACTTCCTAGAAGTGCACGGGATAAAGGAAGAAGGGTTATTTTCAGGTCATAAGGACCGAAAACACCGTGTCTGTCCAGGAAGGTCGTGATCTCACTTACCAGGAGCTCCATGACACGATATTTCCTTAAGGTCGTTGACAGTTGCGTTAGCCACCATAATTCTACGCGTTTTTGGTGTATTTACTTGGCACTTAGGCGTCATAGTTGCTTAAGCTACTGTATTGCATCTTTGGGCCTTCCTTTGCTGCCTACGGGGACTTGGCCACCTCACACGATCGTCTTATTAATCAGCATTTTAAGCCATTTTCTTTACCGGGGGGAGGCCTCATATGTTGACTAGAGCCTTGCCGCTTATGCGTTCTTTTTACTATATTTAGATAGCTAGTGCACACTATTAACTGAATTTCCAAATCACAATTTGTGGAGCGAAAGCCCTTATTTTGGTGGTGGTGACGTGTGTGTAGGCAACCGTAAGCAGGCTCTCGCAAAGGGAAGCTATCGTCTTGCTCATTTAATGTTATTGATTGGCTCACTATCGGCCAATCAGCACACTGAAGTGGCACTTATTCCACGATGACAGACCATATCTGCACAGTTGTAGTGTTTGTCGACGCGTCTGGGCATGGAGCCTTCACTTGTTCCGGACGGTGTGCGTCCTTTCCGCTCACATTCTTCCCTTTACTACTTCCCCTCCCTACTTCATTCATTTTAGATCCGCAAGAAAGCTGAGTACACGCCTTTCCCGCCGCCTCAACAGCCCTCTAAAGTGGACATCGAACTCGAGAAGGGTACCTACTTTCTTGCAGAATCCGAACGGAAGAAGGCGAAACGCGCTTCAAAGGTGGAGAACTCGGAGGAGAAGTCGAAGAAGCGACAGTTGGAGAAACGCGCCGTTGCCTACATCCCGCCAGAGTGAGGCAGTCGGTCAGACAGCCGCCACCCTTGCCTGTACAAAATGCTACATATACACCCCAGTGCACATCCAGCACTTGCTCCTGACTATGTATTTTCCGACGGTAGGACGTAGTCAACGTAATAAGATGCGCCGCTGTAGATTTGGCCAATATATTTCCACATTCAGGGTGTCGTCCGGATATCCCTTGAGAGGGGGACGGGTTGCTAAGTCTGACATTGGAAGTCGCTTTTCCGGTCAGCTACTGCCATTTCGGCCATTTAAATCTCTTTACTGCATACACCATGTTCAACACAACTTAATTATTCGGCGATCAGTATCCGGTGATCTCTGTGCGTAGGATGGAAACTTTTCCTGCCACTTCTCTTCATACTCAAGGGAAGTCGCTCTTATTTTGTGCTATCCAAAGTACATTGGAGACAGCATTAGATGGGGAAATTCTGCATCAGCTTATGTGTTTACTGTAAGTTGCTCGGATCGTTTGTGCCGCAAGTTGTCGACGGTTGTTGGGACTAATGTGGGACATGAACGAAAACGGTTCGTCTCGATTTACTGGACAGTCATGCAGTGAAGAAGTGGGCGAAGGTCCCTCCAGGTGTAAATAATTGATTTGAATACTGACATTTTCGGCGGACCGGACGTTTATACATGCGAATCCAGGAGTACTTTATCTGGCAAAGATAAAGTAAATGATCGGGATCAGAAAAAGGTAAAATGTAGAGCGTTCGTACGAGAATTTCGGTAGTATCGCATGGAAGCGTACTGGAGCCGCCTTGGAAGGGTACTACTCGGAGGAGGCCCCGTGTCCGACAGAGCGCGGACGAAGTGCGCACCGTCTTTGATTTAGGCTGAACTTCACGGGCCCAACGGAGGCTTTGGAGACCTTTCTATCCCATATTACGGACGTAAAGGAGTAGGAATTGTGTTTACCGGACATGACGGGTAATGCGCATGGGAAGACTCCTCTTTCATCCCCTCAACTGCGGACAAATCTTGTGCCTTTTTCTAGAGAGATACGCATAGAAGGTACAGAATAATAAGTTTGTCTAGACATTTCTGCAGCGCCGCGTCCTTGAGGTTTATTCAAAAGAATGTCATCCTGCCGGGGTTAGAGCCGTCGAAGGGCGTGATTGGATTAAAAACAGTCAAACAACACTTGCATGGATGAGTATGACAGTTCGACCGTCGATTCCGACGATGTCTACCGTGCGCTACGCAGAAAGGTGCATCAGCCACGGTGAATTGCGCGTGATTTAGTTTGTAGTACTAGTAGACTGGCGCAGCATCTACCTCACTCTCTCCTCCCCCACCTGGACCTGGTGTCAAGACAGAGTCAAGAAGACCGGGCCGGGGTAGGGCGCAGGTGACTGGCACGGCCAGATCCGCACCTAGGCGCGCCACCACACCCTCTGGTCTGCAACGTACATTTGACCAACAACAACACCCCAACAGCGGCCAGAGCGACGAGGATGACTGGGCAGCCATGCCCACCACCTGTGCACCTAGCGGGAGCGAAAGTGCATCTAACGGCGGGGGGCCGGGTGTCAGGGAACTGCCAGCAAGTACACGTAGATTAGTAAGCAGTTCACGACAGTAATCCCGCCCCGGTCATATACTTTATTCTTGCCGTTCATATTCATCGTATTCCCCGCAAGTTTTGATTTCTGACTGCCGTGTCAAGATTGTGCCCACTGTTACTCAGTAAATCCTGGACCCCCTTCTAGGCTTGGTGCGGTATATGTGGGCCAAATCCGAGGATGATTAACACGCCAATAGTCAACACTAGTGGTGGAAGTGCGACAGTATGCGCGCGAATGAAGCAATTATTGCATCAAGTATGGCCACTGGAGATGTGTGCCGAGCCGCTGATTCTGATATGTGGTTGCAAAGGCGCTGAGTCCTAGAATTGCTGCACGTCTTGCGTGTTCACCATCCTTGTCCGTCGCCTTCTGGTGATGAGAGAGTGAGAGTCCGCAAAGGCAATCGGTGGGGCTGCTTTACTATGAGTCTGTGCCTCTGCTGACGCGTGCGACCGTCAGCTACCAATGATCGATGGCCCTTCTGCACGGCCGGTATTGTATTGAAGAGGGAAGGGCCGCGGGTGCATACTTCGATTTTCGCCCATGAACTCCTGTGGGTCTGTGTGATTTGCTGCCTGAGCCTGTTGCAGAATCACGGAGACGGCCTCCTGATTGGTCGTTTAAAGGAAAAGGTGTCACACGCGGATACCTGGTGAGGTTATCCATCTGCAAGGTGAATTTGCAAGGCCCTATAAGCGTCCGGTATTTGAGTGCACTGATTGGTCGAGTGGAAGCTGGAGGGTTTTGTGTCGCCATTGACGATTTACGCATCAGGCAAAATCAGCCACACAATAGACGCTGTGCATAAGAATCTTCAGTCTCTGAAAATGGATAGCCGAAGTGGTTACTTCAAATCGCAAATAAACCCATCAGACAATCCATTTCGAGCTTTGTGGCCTCACTCTAGAAGCGCTGCCAAAGCGCATACCCAATTGAGATTAACTAAGGACTTTTCGTGTTCAAGGAGGCCAAAGTTCTCCCAAACTTCATTGGTTAACGACGGCCGACCTTATTTGCTCAGGGTTGTTGCTATCTGCCCTAACAGACATAATTCTGCGTAAACAAAAGTAGACTGCATGGGACATTCTGATTTCTCGATAGACATTGTAAATAGGCGAGTCGACCATAGAACTGTTAAGGTGAGGGAAAACCGATCAAACTGACCCCTTATACACCCCATGTGAAGTAAATTTACTTCACATGGGGCGTATAATGGGTGTTCTATTAGGGGATGAACAGTGCAGGTGTGGGAGGTCGCATAATTTGACCCGTGCGAGTGGTGACTGATACACGCAGCCCTTAACGTGCACTCCACTCCCATCTGCGGCTTTCTGAAGCTAGGTCCTGCCTAGTGACCCTATCCCGGTAAACGTCTAGACCGGTGGACTAAACCAGATGACGGTATTCGGCGTTGTGTGTCCCAGTGTCCGGCAATTTCTCTCTTGCTTTCTCTCGCTCCACTTCTACCACATTTAAAGCGTCTTACGGAAAGGGCTACATGAAAATTTCGTAGACGGCGCAGACTAACTCTGATCGCTCTTCCACTAAACAAAGTCGTGTACTGTAGTGAAGTTCGGCAGCAGTCTGTGTTGTCTAAGCAGCCGTATATAGGAACAGCACTGCTTCCCCCTTTGCAGAGAAGGGGCTAAAGTGTGCTCTAAGCAGGTGCTGGGTTCACATCATCAGCATGCCGACTGTGTTTCACAGATGTACAACTCACGGTCAAAACGTGAAGGCAGAAAGCAACTACTACCATCCCCTCCGCCCCACCCCATGGAATGTTGGAAATAGTCTTCTAGCAGCCTGAAATATTCGTTATCTTGTATATAACCCGCTGATCAATTAGCCGAAAAGAATGACGACGCCAGTCACTCGAGAACTGGCCTCCCCACAAGTTGGGCATTGCTACCCTAGGCCAGATTCGACTCTCCAAACAGGGTCAGCTGGAGAACGTAAGTGCCGACTACAGTTTCTGTAACAGCCGTCCAAAAGTAGAGCGACGCGACGTTACCGCAACCTTCGTCATCCGTTATGACATCATGGGACAACTGCACTGTCTGCCGCAGGCAACCAACCATTGTCTCATGACCGTGCAACTGGCTCTTCGGGGAGCCAGATTCACCGCCGTCGTCGGCGCCTTCACCCTTCTTCTTCTTCTTCTTCTTCTTCTTCTTCTTCTTCTTCTTCTTCTTATTATTATTATTATTATTATCATTATTATTCTCCACAATGACCAGCTCTAACGAGATGAGTAGCAAGCTCTGAGAAGACACGCACGTCTTCCTGCCGACCGTACCAAAAGTGGACAAACGGACTGGGCTTGGTAACTTTAATGTCCGCGGCGGGACACACCACGCTGCTTACAGGGGGTCCTGAGTTCCCATGGTCTTGGCGGCTGCAAAGGAGTCGACCTCCTTCTTCTGCCAGCTTGCGCGAAACAACGTCTCCTATTCACCAACACCCGCCCTCTGACGCAGGAGAAGGTGATTTGGATGCACTTCCAGTCGCGGCGCCGGCAGTTAATTGATTAAGTTCTCGTCCGGAGGCGTGAACGGCACAGTTTGCAAGTGATGAAGGTGACCTGTGAGGCCAATTGATGGATGGATCAGTGCCTTGTCATCCTCAATGTTAACTTCCGACTGCGACCTCGCGGAGGATCACAAGGTAAGTGACCTGTGGGTAAGTCGTGTGAGAGTTCGACAGTTATGACCGGCAATACCCACCGTGTGCCCCACAGCAGTGTCAGAGCAGAAACAGTGACTTGTACATAATTTCTTCTCTAGTGACAGTAAACCTGTGCAGCATCCACCGCATTTCCTCATCCCCCAAACTGAGCCCGGTGTTTATACAGAGTTAAGAAGACCGGAGGTTACGAAGGCCCCGGGCGGATGGCACGGCCCGACCCACGCCCAGGCGTACCACTACATTCGAACACTTGATCAGGATTTCAACCAATAACAAGGGCAACTGCTGTTATGACCAGGGTCGTCCCTAGGCGCGTCGCCACACCGGCTCACTAGGTGGGAGTGCCATAAAGGTCATATTAAGAAGGAGCCATTGCAGTCTGACCCCCAATACGTCACCTCACACGAACACACAATGGGCTGACTTCGGGATCCAAGTTCTCCTGTCAGTTGGCAACCTTCCAAGCCACGGCGATTGGCGCACCTTGATAGTCTCAGGCTCGGTTAGCACATGAAGCAGATGAGCCACATGGAAAACGAGCCGGAAAAAACACTTCCCACTTTCATGTGAAGTGCCGGTATCGTGGGATTTTCGAGGGTTGTATGCGTGGTGAACGTTTTGGTGGAGGAATCTGTGGTGATTAAATTTTGTCTGGGGCTGTAATAGCCATACTCCAGGCGCCTGTCTCAATGCTGGGCCTCCCGCGAGGTCTACACGTGCGCATCAGGGCTGTCAGGTATTCTTTCCCTCGGTCTTTCAACCGACTGATCAGATTCAAGGCCGGGTCAGACTTGGTCTGTCTTACGACGCTTTGACGCATTGCCTGACACACGCTTCAGACGTCGCTCACCCGACTTTGGTCATGGCCTCGTCTGGCTGCCAACTCTCCCCACTTCCATTTCCAGTCATTCTGTACAAAATATATCATCCTCGCCACAGGCATCCGTCTAATCTTTCCATTCGGGACCGAGTCTGAAGGTTGTGATAGCCAGGGTCTCACGCTTGACCTAGCCTACTTGCGATAGGGCGATTTATGGCAGGTTTTCATTAATGAGGATGAGGCCTAATAGGTCAATGCGGTATCTGAATGACCGAGGGCAGTGCACGCAGTTGAGGTGAGTGCATATGATGCGTGTTGGAGCTCCAGGCGCTGGTTCATCAGCCACCATGCGATGGATTCTCAAGTAACCGACCAGGCCAGTATGCAAGACAAATGTGCAATGACAGCGTGGGCAGGATAGGTGGTGGTTGCTAAGCCGGCTTCGGTGATGGTGGCAGTAGTAGTAGTAGTAGTAGTAGTAGTAGTAGTAGTAGTAGTAGTAGTAGTAGTAGTAGTAGTAGTAGTAGTGGTAGTAGTAGTAGTAGTAGTAGTAGTAGTAGTAGTAGTAGTAGTAGTAGTAGTAGTAGTAGTAGTAGTAGTAGTAGTTTTCTTTGCTTACTGTATGAACCCTGTCGCCGAAAGATCATTAACGGTTTAATGGTTAGCCGACATTTAGGGCATCCACTTAGGCTATTTTAGGCGAACAGGCACGACAGGTACCGCGGACAGCATCGTCCTGTCACGGGAAGTTTACATTGCGCCACTGACCTCAGGAATACGGGTTAGCTGTATGTGGTGTAACCTAAGTAGGGAGGTAAGTGAGTCAAGGAGCCATGGAAGAAGTGATTTGTAGGAGGTGAATCTAAAGAGAATGTCTAGATAACACTGAGATATTCGCAACGCGGCGTGGAATAAAAGGTAAGCGGCCGTAACAGAAGACGCAGTAATTCCAGGTGGCAGGCATAGGTTAGGATACGTAACTGTGACCTAGTGGGATCCATGAGGATAATCTGCGGCGAAAAATTGAGCAGTCAGGAGAACCCATAAACTTCCAAGAGGAGTACGGAACCGGGAGTCAGTCAAGGGGAGCGGAGAGGGAAGGAAGAATTATAGGAGGAATAAATCAGCGGAGGAAATATGACAGGTAAATCAAATCCAACAGGAAAACGAAAATGGAGAGCGAAAATAAAGTACATGAGGAGCCAGGAGGCCTGGCGGACGACGCCAACAAATACCTCCCGATGGATTGCGGGCAGCATAGCGTCCGCAATTGCGGGACAGTAAGTGTTCCGTGTGAGGTTGTTTCCAAGTAGATAGAAGCATTCACAAAGGAAGGAAATGTGCTATATTGATCGAAAGCAACCAACAGACTTAAAATCGGACACAATAAAGCAACCTGCAAACCCCGAATAAAGTGAATCAATAACAACACAGGTTCAATTCAGCTTATTGATGAAAATAGGATTTGTGTTTAATCGCTTCCCTTGATAATGCCTGTAAACTTGCATTTAATATATTAAATTTAATTGAAATTGAAACTGAATACCTTATTTGCAACGTAAAATTGCGTGGTATAAAGAAAAATGTCATGGGCTGAAATAGTTCGAACGAGCCCATAATGGTAGGACAAAATGGGAAGGAGTTACAGGGGGTGAGCCATATTACTCATTGCTCTTGGTCATTTTGGTACATAAATTTATCGAGGTTCTTTATAAAACGGTGTATAAATGGTGACATAACAACATCTGCGGATAGGGCATTCTATGGTTTAACCACTCGAACAGAGAAGGAGAACTTCCAAACATCCAGCCTTGCCTGCTGAGTGAGCACTTTTAACGGGTAAATTCGGAGATTGGTCGTGGTAGCGCGTTCATAAAAGTCATCGAGGGTCAGGCTGCGATCTAACCCCCTAACAATGCGAAATGTTTGCAAGAGATCCTTGTAAAGTTGTCTGTATCTCAAAGGGAAAAGGTTCAGACTTATTAAGTGGATTGCATACGAAAAGACGCTTTGATCTCTAACCATCGTCATGACTCTCCTCTGAACTCCTCCGAGGCAGCTTTGATCATCAACCGTCCATGGTCTTCAGGTTTGTATGTCGTGCTCCAAGTAGGTAGGGAGAAAAAGGGAGCCTTAAACCCCAGAAAAAATGTCCAAAGAGGAAGACCGTTGTCGTTTACTAAAACCGAATCTAAAGACAAACCTTAATCATACAAACCAAAATTAAGCCCATTTAAAGATCTCCTAAGCCCCAAATCGATCGCTTAACCCAAATATGAAAACAAACTCCAGGTCCTGCCGGTAACCGTAAGCCAAAAATTCACCCAGACCCATGTAGTGGCTAAGTGGTGATGGTGTACGCTCGGCACGCCGCAACTTCAGGCCATATCCAAAGTTGATAGAAGCAGGACGCCATTTGGTAAGACCACTTTATTCTGTACAGAAAAGTGAAGGATGAATTTGGCAACCGGACGAGGATGGGTCCGGCGCCGCGGAGGCGGCGTCCGCAAGATCGACGAGCCCTTTGTCGCCGGAGGTCGCCGCTGCAAAATTGTCGCTGCATATTGTTTACGCTAGTGGTCTGGCTGTGCCCGCGACTGTACCAATCAGCGAGAGGAGGTCCGTTGATTGGCTCCGAGCCCACGCGAAGGTAATGACAAGTCTCGCATGCTACAGGAAGAGAATCGACCAGGTGCGTGGCGCAGACAGTAAATTGCAACGAGACAAATCGAAGCCGGGCAGACGTGCGCGCCAAAGCAGGCTGTCGCTAGGACGTAGGTGCAGGCGCCAGCATGAGGCGCGACGTAGCCATTATGGCTGTCCACTACACCCAGAACGTTAGCGGCCAAACTGACTTTAAACTTTACCCAGAACTAAAACTAAAATCATAACCCTTAACCTTATCGCTAAACCTAAATCCAGTCCCTAAACACAACGCTAAACCAGAATTTTAACCCTAACCGCTTGCTGTTAACCACATCATTCAACTCTAACCCTAAGCAACAACACAAATGCTAACCGATAATTGTGTACCCAAGACTTAAAACTAACCCTGACACGAAAACATAAGCATAACCCTTAACCGTTACACTAACATTAAAAACCTTAACCTAAACCCTCACCCAAACTCCAATAGCAACCTTAATCCGCAGAACCAAACACTATCCCCAAACATATGCCCTAACGATAATAATAACACTCTCCGCAAACTAACCTTATCATTAACCGAAAGTTCTAGACGCCAAACATACTCCTAACTGCAGACCGTAAAACCGAAACCAAACTCTAAAACTAAGCCCTAAGCCTAAGCCTAAACCCCAACAACGGCTTTGATCTTAATCTTCAAAACACACGTAGCCATGACAGAAAACCGTACTCGTTACCCTGACACCAGTCCTAAACCTTAACACTAGCATTTACACTAGCCCTAATCCCAACCTCTACGCATAAGCATAAGATTAAAAACTAGCTCTAAACACTAACATTTATCGTGGTCATAAACCCTAGCCCTAACCCCAAAACCAACCCTAACCGTAAACCGTGCATCCAGTCCCTAGACGATAAACCCAGCCCTAACCGTAATCCTAAAACCTAACCATAGCCTTACTGTAACAGAAATAATAATCCTACTATTGCAATTTGGAATAAAGTACCCATGAGTGTGAAAACTCTGCAAAATTATCATTTATTTTAGAGAACTATTACTCGATTTTTGCATTCGGAAAAGCTCCCACAAATTTTGCGGGCTGAGTGCACTGATCGACTTTACCGTAGCGATGACGTTTGTGGTTTCTGACCACTTTGGCCGGTTTCACCAGGGAAAATTTCTTTGGCCAACAGCGACAGATGTTCTTCGGCGCTTCTGTTTGGACTAGCCCCAACTTCATGAAAGAAATTGGCGACTGATATCATTCGATACCGTGCAGCCCCTCCCTTCTTGATGGTCAAAAAATCGTTGCCAGCAGTTTTTTTCGCCTGAACCCTCGAAACGATAAAAACCATCAACTATATCTTTATTCCTTTCCCACAGGTGTTTTTTTTCATTGCTGGCCGGATTTCTGTTTAACGCTTCCCTGACAATGCCTGTAAACTGGCACTAAATAAAAATCATTATCATTATCATTACTTCTAGCCATGGCCTTCATGAAAATGCTCGTCTTGGACGTAAATCAAAACCTGAAACCTAGACTGGAGAATAACACAAAGCACTGTCGCTAATCCTAGTCTTAACAACAAGTCTTGCATTAAATCGAATCCAAACAAAATTCGCACTGACACAAAAACATAACCCTAGCTCTTACACCAAAACCAAACCTCACACAAACCGTAAACCACAATGTTACCCCTACCCAAAGCCCTTAGGCTAACCCCTAACTCAACATTAAACTTGGATCCTAAACTTAACCCCCGCCGCGACAATGAGCTTATCCGCAACCCACACATTCAGCGCCGGCCCAGGTCCCTTTCCTTGACTCCAACCCTAATCCGAAAGCTACCCCTAAATCTTACCCTGGCCCTGGTCCAAATGAATACCGCTAGCCCTCAACGTAAACCATAAGCCTGATCAATAAACCTAACGACAACCCCAAGACTAACCCTTACATCGGTCCGAAACCTTACAAAAAACCATATCCTTTCTTTAACCCTAACGATAATTTCAATACAAGCCCTAACCCCAAACCAAAACCCTAACGCTTAACCCTAACCCTGAACCAAAGCACCAACGCAGGCCCTAACACCAAACTCAACTCTAAACCAAACCCTTGCCCTAAACTGCACCCTTAAACCTCACCCTAACACTAATCCTAATACTTAAGCGGAAACTAAACCTCAACCCTGACCCAAACCTGAAAAATAAACATAAGCCATGGCCCTAATCCCTCACCGCAACACTGGTACCTATAACCTGACAATAAACCACGACAATAATGTTAAATCCCATACATTACCATAAGCCTAAGAACTAACACTAAAACAAATCAACATCCCAAACCCTTACCCTAACCATAACCCGACCATACTACCCACGCTAACCGCTGACCCTAATCTCTAAATCAAGCCACAACCCTAATACTAAACTCAGAACTGGGTAATACAAAACTCTAACAATGACCCCGGCCATAACGCAAACATTAACATTAATCATATCCCTAATCCTATCCCTTACTCTAAATCAAACTCTAAACACTAATCTTAAGTTTTAACCGAAAGCTAGACCGCCGATTCCGATGATGTCCACCGTGTGCTACACATTAAGGTGCAGCAGGCACGGTAACTCTCGCAGCATCTACCGCACCCTCTTTTCCCCACTCCCCACCTGGATCGGTGCCATGACAGGGTCTAAGAAACCGGAGTCGGTGGAGGCCGACGATGGCTGATACGGTAGAACCCTCACATAAGCTTGCCACCAAACCCCTTGGTCCACAACATACGCCTGGCTAGGTTTTTCACCAACAAAACAACAACACCCCAACAGGAGTCGGAAGGACGGGAATGATTGGGTAGCCATGCTCACCGCCTGTACACCAAGCGGCAGCGCAAGCGCATCTACCGGCAGGAAACCAGTTGTCAGGGGACTGTCAGCGCATACCGGGCTGTGAGGGATACGGTTTACTGATACTGGCATGGCACACGCTTTCAGAAATTTTGACCAAACCCTAACCATAACACTAACACTAACCCTTACCCTTAACCCAAAATCTTATCCCAGACCCAACACTAAACCGAACCCTAAACCCTACCCCTAACCCCTGATTGGCAAATGTGGACTGCCCAGGGACTGCTAGATAACTTTAGTCATAAGCATGGACAATGAGCAATGGATCAGCTTCTTAGCCAGAAGGTTACGTTTGGAACGCGGGTAAGGAAGGACAACAGTCGAACTGCATTGATCTTATTTTTACCCGAGAGGAGGAAAATGTGCTAGGACTGCAGGCCTCATTACAGTCAATCGGCCACATTATCTCGTATGTCGAGTGCTCACTGTTTTCAAATTAATTCCGCTTGATAAGTGGAAAAGAAACGTTTTGAAAGGGAATATTCACTCATGGGGAGAAAGGTGGCCGCGGTGTTTTTGGAGAGAGAACTCCATGGTAGAACAAACGTAAATTGGAAAACTTTTAGTTCCCTATAGAAAGGGCTTATTTACAGCAGCTGTCCTCTCGGAAAAGAGAAACTTCCAAACCGCCCAAAGTGGATAAACTCGAAATTATGGTCCGTTTTTCTCAAAAAAGAAATCACCTTTTGAGGCGTCAGACTTACCGGCTCCGAAGGGCACTTACGAAAGTATAAGCAGTGACGCAAAATTGGTAAAAGTGAGGCTTGAAAATTGCGAAGAAGGCCTGAACTGAATACACTGCTAAATTCGTTAAAACACCCAAAATTCTACATAACTGTATACGGCGTATTAAAAGGACTCAGGAACTGATTCCTGCTCTTAGGTCTGCAGACGAAAAACTGGAGACGATTGATCAGGTTAAACGTCCCCCCCTTTCCAGTTTCTTTCAGTCCGTCTTTGCCCGAGAATCTCATTCTTCATTTGCTTTCCCTCCACTCTTTTGCCAACTAACGTCTTTTTTTACTCGCTCTACTCCTTTTCCCCCTCTTACACCCTCCTTGCCCTCCTCATTTGAGGAAAAACTCTTTTTATTGACCATAGTTAGGGCCGAATTACTTCGACTGCAGCCTGCGAAGTCGATTGATCCGGATCGAATTGTTGCACTAGCGCCTCGAGAAATCGCTAACGAACTGTGCGAGTCACTGTCTATAAAATTTCAAAAGTCACTTGAAGAACGCGAAATCCTGGAAGAATGGAAGTGCACACACATCACCACGATCCATGAAGGATGTTCACGACTTAACTATGAAAATTACCAACCTGTCGGTTCAACTCGTAGCGCATGTAAAATAATGGGGCGCATTATCAAAAGGCATTTGATGGAATACTTGGAAAATACCAAAATAATGATCAACACGGCGTTCATCCAGGGCGTTCTTGCCTCACGCGTTTTATTTGCTTGCACAAGAAATGGACAAGGACCGCGAACAAGGGTTATCCAGTAGATTTTATATTTTTGGCTTACAGAAGGCCACTGACAGCATCCCACAGAAGCTTATTTTGCAGAATATTTGGGATGTAGGAATTCGAGGAAAAAAGTTTTGATGGATGAAGAGTTTCCTGACCTCCATAGTATAGAGAGTCGCTGTTGGTAACGATATCTTGAAATGATCAAAATGGGAAGAGATGTCCCACATGGTTCTGTTTCAGGCTCACTTTACTTCCGATTTGCGTGAACGAGTGCGCCAGCGAACTTAACTGCGAGAGTCTCATGTTCGAGGATGACATAGAAATATTGAGTGAAGTCAAGTGCGCCGATAATGCAGAGAATTTGCAGTCCAGCATCGACAAACTCGGTATTTGGTCGAACAAATGGCTAGTAAAGTTTAACGTATCCAAATGTGTGGTCCAACACCTAAACATCAGCTAAAATGCCTCTCTCAGACATCGGTACTAAATTGGCGGGACGGCATACGAAACAACATACCTGTCGCACCCTTCATAGCAATTTTGAGCTTTAAATTGCCGCACAAAACACCGGACAGGGGTGTCGCAGAGGACATTGTCTAAGTTCATCTTTAAGATATTTTGCGTATGTAGTAAGCTCAGACCACTGGCCAGGAGGTCTTTCAGCTCGCCAACACAGTCGCGCAGGAAGTCATCCAACGGATCGGGTTTGTCGGGACCGGACATCACTCCAACAATGAAGGGCTGACCAAAAACTGGATGGCGAAAAAGAGCAAGAATCGGCCACAGGCACCAACTAGACCCCTCAAAGATAATCATTCCGTCGATATGCAGTTGGATGTGCATTTCAGGAACGGTTGTTGCTGGCAGACTGTGCAGTTGATGCAGCAGACCACGCTCAGTACCCAAATGAGCATAGTTGCCTTTGCTCAGGGGCTTGCTAATGCAGGTTTGAGGCGTTTGCAATGGCGTCCTTGGGTCTTTGGGTACTCCTGGGTGGTAGGGCCGCAGCATTTAGGCCTCCAGGCAGAATTCCCGTAAGTCCACCAGAAATCATTGGCCTGCCACCGCGTCCTCGCTTATGTCTACGGGTTCTAAACTTGCTAGTAATTAACGCGGTAAGACGACTACCGATGTAAACTTCTGGGACTAATTTGGGCATTTCTAATTCCAGTGGTTGGTCTACCACCGACGGCGTAGTGGGAACGGAGGGATCACCCATCCGCGCATAATATGCCTTCTTCTCGCGTGCAACCCGCTTGTAAACTGTGCTCCGATGAAAGCCATAATACTTGCGCTTCATGATTACTTTCATTGACAGATATAAAACAACATAAGACGTTTAACTGCACTTGAAGCACTAACTGTGAGGTTAAAATTGCTATTTAGTTAATAAGCCTACTTGCATAACATGAAAAAGATCAGTAGAGGCGTAAGTAAGATCCTCAAGATGCGATAGACTTGAAAGCGACGTGGGAAAACGTACAACTTCGTCGCGAACGTCCGATTGAGCAGCAGATAAATGGTGTAGTACTCGAGTTACTTGACGGCCTAGTCCCGTCTGGATTGAGGTCCCTAGAAGATGATTGACGCTGTTCGTCTACGGAGGTCACAGGAGGCATATTCATGTCTACTCTTCCTTGAATGTGAGTCTTGAACGTTCGATCACACAGGTTTCAACAGAACATATCAGAACTGGACTGTCAACAACGGAAGGTTTATTGAACCGGGAGTTGGAGAGGGATGAATCGTGGTTTGCGGGCCAAGGAGTAAAGGGGAAAGACAATGAAGTGGGAAAACCAGAAGATGTGCGCAAGCCTTCCTCCGATTTATCCTTCCTCAGTCTGGGTGTCGGCACGCGTGGTTCCACCGTGTGCACGTCCGCTTGGTGCTTAGTCACCGTACCTTCAAAAAAGTGGAATGTCACTCAGGGAGACGTTAACAAAGAAATTAAGACAAACCTTACTAAAAAATATCTGTCCTTTACAATGGCGTCAAGTAACCCACCTAAACGAAAGCGTCGAAATCGGCTTATCCAGGCAAATTATCATCCCCCAAGAAGTGAAGACTAAAGGCACTTTCTGGGTGAATTAACGTACATTTAGGGGAATTCGGAACATTTAAGCACAGAAGGTTTCGTCTACGCGGCTTAGACGACTATTGCAATTTCTTAACATATAGCGCGGCCATGGCCACGTCCAGCCACGTTTGACCACACCCACAAGACGTGGCTATGCGTTGGCAGAGGAGCAAGGATCCCAGAACTGAGCCTTGAGGCGCACCACTAGTCATGTTCGCCAAGTCTGGCATATCATCTCCGATACAGACACGCTGCTTCCGATCAACCAGAAACGCACGTGCCGCCAACTATCGTCAGTTCTTTTCTGTGAACGTAACTGCAATCCGCAAAAAGTTACCCAGGAATGCGAAAATTCTGCAAAGTTTTTCTTTGTACAAGAGAAAAATTACGCGTATTTTTCATTCGGAAAAACTTTCACAAGTCTTGAGTGCCGAATCCATCGAATTAATTTTCCATGGTGATGGATTTCGTGATCTCACATCGCTTTGCCTGATCTCATCTTGTGAGAAATGGTGTTTACTCTACAGCCCGCAACACTACGACAATCTCCTCAGCTGATAGCTAGCGACTGTTCTTCTACGAACTCTGTTAGGCCCGATCCACATTCGAAGAAAATGAAAAGAGCTTGAAAGCATCCGATGCGATTTGAGCCCTTCCCTTTCTAAGCTGACACCCTTTGGCTGACAGTGGTTTTTTCGCGTGATCCACCGAACTATCAAAAAACATCACTACCTTTATTTTTTCCTTAGGCGCTTTTTCACTGCTAGCTCGATCTGCAATTTATCTTTCTTCGACAATGCCTGTTAAATAGCATTAAAAATAATGATAGTAGTTGTTATCATCATTATAGGAACTAAATCTGAACCCCAAACACTAACACAAAACACTTGCATTAAATCCCAACATCAAAAATAAACCTAACCGTAAGTAGTGAACTCTAACACTTACCTTCACTATAAAACATTGACCCAAAATATAACATCAAGTCTAAACCTTAACAACTAACCTAATCCTGAAACATAACACTAAACTAACCCAAAAACAAATCAGTGGCCCTAACACTGACCCTAACAAAAACACTTACCCTTAACTTAACCTCTAAGGACACTCATAAAACCTAACGCTTGCCATGGTACAAAACCGAAAATTACACTAACCTTAACATTTACAGTGACGCTAATATCCAAACCCTAAGCCTTACCTTAACATATGTTATCGCTAATATTGACCCCAAAACTCTAACCGAAAACCAAACTCTAACCCCAACAAGCGCACCAACCATGACCCTAACACCAAATCTATCCCTTACCCTTAGCTCAGCTCCATGCCTTGCCCCAACGAGTTCTCAAAACACTTACCTCGAGCTAACTCCCAACCCTAATCCGGACAGTAAATCAAACCGTAAGCACTTAACCTGACTGTAACGCTTACACCTAAAACCAAACATCAACCCTAACCCTTATCCGTAGCCATAAACGAAGCCACAATGCGACACCTAACCTAAATCCTAACCTTCAGCGCTAGCGTCTACCATAATCGTGAACTCTATCCCTTTGCGTTAAATCTAAGCCTAAAAACCAAAAATAACACCTACCCTAGTCGAAAGCCGAAAACATAAAAGATTAGTCCAGGACAACACCTTAACCCTCGCCATAGTCTTTAAACCAAGCCCTTACCTAACCCTTACAGAAAACACTTGTAAAAAAGGTAATGTTCTTATGAACTAACGAGTTATATCTCACGAGCCCCTAGCATTAAAGGCAGCAAGTAAATCGGAGCATTGAATAACATAGAGATTTTGAACGTTAAGAAAACTGACAACAGACCACGACAGAGGAGCACGCTAGCAAGGCGGGTTGTACAGGTGGGTCGTTTCTCGTCACATTCAAACAAGCAATGTGGTCAAAGAAAATGGGATTAAATTGTCAAAAGGTAAATAAGTCAGGTACCTCACCACAGTACCCCCTTCTAGACCGGAGGGCAACGGAATACGGCGCCGGAAGATATACATAAGTCTAGAAAAATGCATAACTAAACGATCGGGGAAATGAACTTGACGGCCACTGCGAGTGATGTAAGCAGGAGGTACGGTCGAAGAGGGTTGACCGCGTGCTATGCTGGAGGATGATGTTGAAGTTGGATGCTGTCGACATGTAAGGAGAGGAAGTATGCGGGACGGGGGGGGGTAGAGGGCAAGGCAGGGGAAGGGCGAGGCAGTGGGCAGGGTGAATGAGCAGGGGATAGGGAAGATGGATGAACAGGAGTTAGGGGATCAGAACATCTTTGTCCTTGTGGCAGGTCCGGCGGCTCCTCTGCAACAGCAGCCTTGACCCGATCGACACTGGCCACGTCCTCCTTGTCACCGCAAAGAATCCGGTAGGTCTTAGCTTTGAGCGCTAGCACGGGGAACGGTCCTCCGTATGGTGATTCCAGCGGCTGGCGCACACGGTCACAGCGGACGAACAAATGATTACACTTGTCCAAGTCTTTTTCGACATTAGACTCTATCATTGGAGCTAGAGGTGGAACCGGGGAAAGCGAGCGCATAAATTGCCGCAAACGGTGCACAAGATTGTAAGGAGTCTCGTCGGCCTCACGAGGGGTTGGAGTGATCATCTCGCCTGGCAGTCGGAGCGTAGTGCCGAAAACCAATTCAGCTGCGCTACAGCCGAGATCCGACTTCACAGCTGCGCGGATGCCGAGGAGTGCAAGACCAGGAGTCCGACCACTTTCCTGGGTCTTCTACGGCACGCAGAGCGGTCTGTAGCTGATGATGGAAACGTTTCACTGCACCGTTGGCAACTGGGTGGTAGGCTGTCGTCCGAATGCGTGTGCAGCCAAGAAAATTGAATAGCGTTTGGAAGAGTGCCGACTCAAACTAGGCACCACGATCAGTCGTAACCGGTGGATGGCGCACCAAACATGGCGACCCAACGGCTGACGAAGGCCTTCACGACGGTTTCAGCCTGCACATTCGGCAAAGGAATAGCTTCAGCCCAGTGGGTATATCGATCGACATAGGTAAGGAGGTGGGTGAAACCATTGGATGGAGGCAATGGGCCTACGAAATCCTGGTGAACATGGCCAAACCGCGCGTCGGGACTGGGGAAAGTGCCTGGTGGGGATTTGTTGTAACGCTGCACCTTGTTGCGCTGGCAGCTCAGACACGACCGGGCCCAAGCTTTGACGTCCTTGTTCATGCCAGGCCAGACAAACCTTTCCGCAAAGAGCTTTTTAAGAGGCTCGGATCCCAGGGTGGGAGAGTCCATGCAGAGCTTGAAATACAGCTCGACGCATCGAGGCGGGCACGAAAGGGCGATGAAAGGGAGTTGAGACGTCACAAAGTATTGTACCAGAGCCGGTGGTCAGTGGAACGTCTTTGAGTAGGAGACCACTAACAGACTCGTCAATCGACTTGCTGTTGCTCAGTGCCATGGCACAAAGATCGATCCCGTGTGTCAGTTGGAGAGAAGACAGTGAGGGTCTGGACAGCATATTAGCCACCTCATTCTTCGT